GGGGGCTCGTTTTCCACTTTTTCGCATAATAACACTGGTCCTTTTGAATCCACTCCATTTCATCCAGTTCAAAATGACCATGCCGTTGCATGTTACAGCGGAGCATCACCTGTTATTTCGGTTCTATCATGTCAGCGTTGATGCTGCCGGCAGTCTCACGATGCGTGACAAACCGTTGGGCAAGAAGCCGATGGAATCGAGCACTGGCTATGCTTGGCTTCCGCTGCTTGGGCCAAATGGAAAGTAAGCATTGATCTGTTTTGATTGGTGCATGCTAGTGTATGCAGTTTGCCCATACCTGTCATTGTCATGTCATAGTAGGTGATCTACAAAAATTAAACTGCGTTTTTCTTCTCTCCCAATTAATTTTCCGGGGAGTCATCATGTAAGATAACGGTAGCACGGTTAACCGATAAAGCAGCTTGTATGCATATCCCAAAACCGTTCTACTCAAACTGGTCGCATTGTATTATTTTCGCCTGGAAATTGGGAGCAACCTGCCAAAATACACTCGATCTAATCCCATATTCTCGTGCTTGTCACAGCCACCAATCAAGATATCGCATTTTAGATTCATAATACATCAGTCGGTGTTAGGGACCGACTCGTCCTGCATGCAAATACACACACACACATTGGCATTTATTTTAGAACAGGATCTGATTGGCTTCACTCTATAGTCTATCGCTCAGTGCTTTTGTCTAGTTTCTGTATGACGAGTTTGTTTGATACAATCACTCATCGGTATATTCTACTGCTCAATAAATTGAGTTTTCCGAACTCTTTCGGATTTTGGGAGAATTCAAATTCGTCGCAACGGTCATTGAGGAATTCATGTACTTCCATGTGAAAATGGAAATAGCTTGATCGTCTGTACTGCCTTTCAGTTACAACAGAGTTTGGACCTGTTTGAACTGCCTTTGCTGTCCTAAATGTGTTACCCCTTAGTGGCCTCTCAGTACCGTTAACCAAATCGTATAAACCATCGACGGCTTGGATTATCATACGCATTGCTGTTTTTATTGCCAGATGTCGCGCTGACGTTTTGTTTCCGATCTTTCATTTTGTTCTGTTTGCATCCTGTTTCGATGAGATTGGCTTACGGATAAAGTGAAAGAAGTCAGTAGTTCGCGCAAATACAACGAAAAAATTGCTTTGTTGCTGCTGAGATGTGCAGCTCTTTCAAGGCATGTTGATTCCGCATTGATGATAACTTCGTAAAGCTACGGCTGTCCTCTTGTATGAGAGATGCATAGCTGTGTTCTAGCATTCGTATCCCCAGGTTCTCAGTCAAAACATGACCACTGCTTCGGAGCCGCGGAAGAGCAACAGCGGTGCCCGAGAGCGTGCGGGATTCTTGAAGTATTACATCTGGGTTTCTTGTAAGGTATCACAAAAGCTTGAGGACAACACGGTAGGCCCGAACCATCATAATGAAGCCACCGCTGTCTGAACCCAATCCTTCTGGGGATGTATCTACTTAGCATAAAATGACAAAAAGGTGCATGGAATGATTCTCAGCTATCACCGACTCCTAGAGAACTGCCATCTCGTTGCTCTGTGTGTTAGATCGTTCAACTTAGGGCTCCTGGTAGGATTTTTAACCAGCACCCTACTTCTGCAATTGCAACAGGGTAGTATCTCATCCTCAGACATCCGAAAACTTTTCGTGCTTGATCTCTTCCAGTGTGACTTTATGCATCCTCTTTGGACTTCGCGAACTTTTATTTCCACCGATGTCCACTCTCTGTTTTCGATAGACCACGAATGAAGTTTAGTCAACTCGTGAACGTCAATCGCCTCTTAATTATGCCACCCGCGAACGCTTACGAGTATTGGCCAACAAATTGTTTGCCGTGTTTCAAACACTAATGAATCCAGACTGTTCGCCTATCAAATCATGGTACAAGTTGGATTGGTCGGGACAGTAGAAACACTGCATCAGTTTTTGCTGTTTAGGCGAAAAAGCATATGCGTTAGGATAGCGACAGGTTGTCTCAGCGAGGGGTGCTAGCTGCATATTGGATTTCGATATAGGCCAAACTTTCTACTCCTTCGAGAGATATAGTTCACCTTTGGTCGCTCATCAGTATAACACTATAGCACTGATTTCGACAGTTGAAAGTTCACTCGGTGTAACAATACCGTGGGTTCTTCTGGCACTCATTCAATCTTCTCGATGCAAGCCGGCACATACCAGCTGACTACGAGCATCTTCGGGTGCGTCAGTCACGCGCCAATTCAAAAATGGTGTCAACAAAGTCTAAGAGACATTAATTATTTGTTCCACGGGTAATGTGATTGACCACTTGTGTGATTACGTATCATTGCAATTTAATTGGCCTATCGCACCGTCGCTATCACTCCGCATGGGCTCAGTATCTAGTATCCGATATTCCAGCCACTGGAAATCCGCAAGAAATTTCAACTGGTGAGACATTATTTAGCAATGATCTGCCATTGGCTCTTGTCAAGGGTGTCAGAAAGTGCTTGATGGGGAGGCTAAACACGTTATTAAGATTTCCGAGGAAGTCTCCTAACATACGGAGCATCATCTGTAGTTCTGATCTATGAGGTGGGTCCCCTGAACATCTGCTGCCATCACGCGTTTTTAGTTGGATCCTTATTTCATCTAATCTGTTGATGTCCAGCAGAACAATTGCCTATCCGCGGCACGCGGTTTGTTGTTGTCTTTTTAGACATACACACAGTGGTATTTCCTTAAGAATGGTGTTCCCGAGAAGCGCGCGAACATTTTGAAATCGTTGTATCGTAAAACCTCTGCTCGAGTTAAAGCCGACTACGTACTACTGTCTTCGCTCGATTCAGTTTCCCAGTTGTTTTCGGTAAGGCTCTCCTATCTCGCCATCTTTCTTCAATGTCACCATCGACGATGTCTTGAAGTGGTTTCTGTCATGTGACTCACTGTTTTCTTTCAACTTCTTCTGTATGGAAGACTGTTTGAGATATTCTACGCTTTACTTGATGACAAGAAGCAGTGTTCAAACAGTTTCAAGCCAGTAATCATATGGGCAACTCGCGGCGGAGTGTACCTTTCTTCACCAAATGCAAAGCCCAATAATGGCAGAAACTTGTATCTGTGCTTACCACAGGTGGGAAACAACTCGATTTTGTTAGTCACTTTTTTATCTTGAGAGTAGTATCTCATCTGTCCATAATGGTGAGCCAAGGATTTCGCTCCGGATAACGGATGCTTGAATAAACAGGAACGGTGGGGGCCCGGTTCTAACATCACAGGGAAATACGTGTTCCAACCCCATCACCACCATCTGAATTTCCTCATCAAATATATTTGATGGCAGCCCTTGGTCGCATAGACGCATTTCTCTAGGTACAAGAGAATGGTGGCCATCCACAACCCGAAGCACCCACCCTGGACCATACTGATGCGTTCAGATGCTTGCCTGTCTTCGACCAATCGCTATCTTCGGAACGTCGCCGAGATTTGGTGACGACATATTCCTAACGAATCTTTTCGACAGCTGATATTCCACCAGTAAAGCAGTCATCCCTTAGTAAATGATTCTCTCTCTTTGACGGAGTTATATATATAACCTCTGGGTAACGAATCACTAAATCGAGGTGTTGCAAATGGTGAAATCCTCTTTCAATGTTTTGGCACCCTCCACCGTTCTTTCTCATCCACCTTATGGTTCACATTACAACGTTATTATATCTGGTAGAGCACTGCTAAATGTAGTCCGCTGTCTTGCGGATCGGGTTTGGGCTATCAGGAGACTCAGGTTACAAATAACGGAAGAAAATTCCCCTGTTTTGGCATGGTTACCTTGATAATACTTCGCCGAGGACCAATTTTTAGACCGATTGCTTTGTTGTAAAGACCCTTCAACCCGATGTGTTGATACACAGTCCTGACTCCGACATGTTTGAAGCATGATCCTGGTTATTGTCTCCGCTTCCCTTCTTCAAAGTCCGGTAAAAAGCAATTCCGTCGGGACAGTTCGCGCTACACCACTTATAAATGTGTTAGTTCGGTAATTCCTCAAATTATCGGTTAGTTGATTCGCGGAATTCATTTGTACCCGAGGTTGTTTTACCAAAATTACCGATTCACTGTGGTGTACCAAAATTCAGTTGCCTTCCTTGTGTTTTCCTGTTTTTTGCATGAAACAATCGATCGAATTCACTCATGTACGCATTTTGATACAGCTCGTAGGTGTCATGTTGAGTTTGTGCTAAGTCTATTCTACTCCCTCCTCGGCAAACAAAAAAACTCTGAAAACACGAAAACAAAAACAATCCAAAAATAAAAAAACTGGCATTTTTCACTAGAAATCATCCATTCCGCAAGATAGAGAGGTGTGTGTGTCGCTCCCAGTAAGACGCATCAACGTTCCTTTTTTTCCAAAGCGCTTTGGGTTCCCGAACTCCAATGTTTTACCTGGTTCTATCACATCAGTAAACTTTGTGCAGTGGTTTCGAAAATAAATTTGTGTTCAATGATCCTTTGTGCGACAGTTTTACGTTTTCTCCGCGCCTTCTGTGACTTCCCGTTTTTCCATTTCAATGTGAATTGCTATTTAGACTATCCTGGTTCGGTTTTCACCTGTTGCGACACTGTCTGTTCACTATTGATATGTGTTATCAGCGGTTTTTTGTTGATTACCGAAGATTGGTAAATAAAAGTATCATTTTCGGTACTTTTGTTTCGCTCTCTTTCCGACAAGATACCTAACAGTGATTGGTTCGACAAAGAGATCTCACCGTTGGGCATCTGCTAACTCTTCGCGAACATTTTGATCAAGTTAAATTTTGATTTTGCCACGTTTGACGGTGGTCGCCTGGTGGCAATTCACCAAATTATCACCCCGCGGATTTGTGTTCGAATCCCGCCACCACTGCATGACTTTTCCCATTGTATGTTGAACAACAGCCCTTTGATTGGCCGCTTCCTCCTTCCTGAAAATTGTATCTTAGTATAATCAATAAAAGGAAGTAATAGAAAACGATATCACTATTTTTTGTAAATTCCACCCTTATTTTATTTCATGGGGGACTTATTTACGAGTTCCTTGTACAAACCTGGTATGCATACTGTTTACTACGAAACCACTGCACCAATTTGGCGCGGGGGGATAAGTTGATGCACAAAGAAATATTGATGCACAAGTTTATATTCAATCCAAAGCTGTCATAGAAACACAAATGCCCCCCCCCACAGAAAAGTCAAGTATGGTGTTCTATTGTTAGGAGTGGTAGGACGTG